TGGACCCGCCGAACAGCTGATCCGCGGGTCGCAAAGCTTACCGATCTTCGCAAGGCGATTTTCGCCTATTGGGGCCGACGCGATGCCTCCGCATTAGCGATCCCGGAAAAGGAATCGCTGTGCGGATTCTTCGTTAAACGGTGCGCTCGTTAAGCGAGGCACCACTGTACTTTTTATTCCTCCCTTTGATGTTGAACGAATAATGAAGATCCTTGAGTTTTCATTTATATGATATCAGTTTTGATCCACAGAATCATTCCTTCTCATACATCAGCTTTCCTGAGCGGAAGTGGTAGACCTCATTTCACAAAAACAGCTTAATAAATAAATGGGAAAAAATTGCAGGGAGGATTAGGACCTGGGAAACTGGCTTGAGAAAGCCAGGATAGCCATGTTATGTCCAACCTCTAGTGGAAAATGTAGAGGAACAGGGATGAGAAACAGTAACAACAATGGATGTATGCCGTGCATACCAGAGGGGTGAGGTATCCTAGGATGAAATGTAATTTGGATGCTGTAAAAAAAGGAAGGAAGGAGGGAAAGGGAATTTCTACCGGAGCAAGGGCTGGGCTAAATCAGGTAAAACAGTCCCAAATATGTCTCTCTCTCTCTCTCTCTATGAGGGGTGTCATCTTCCAAAATGTTTTTAGACAGAGGAAAGTGCATTCCTTTACTGTAGCAACACAGCAGTTAGCAAAAATCATTTTAGATCATCTGAGGAGTCTGTGTTTTGTTCCCTTTCTTCCTCATTAGGTCAGTTATCGTGTCGTCAGTCAAATACCAAAGGAGACACATCAATACCCTTTTTTCTATCGAGCAGTCCCAAATCAGGAGCCTCCTTACCTGGGGATTGTCAAACTGCTCCTGCACTTCAGGTGGACTTGGATCGGCCTCCTGGCTCCAGATAATGAAAGCGGGGAAAGATTTATGAGCACTTTCTCTGCTGTGATCACAAAGAACGGCATATGTATTGCTTTCTCAAACAAAATGCCCATAGGAGTTTTTTATAGAAGAACAGATTCTGACTTGGTTTCCAATCTTAGCAGCACTGAAGTCAATGTTGTCGTCTGTCAAATAGACTCTCAGACCGTGCTCACTCTTGGACTGACAATTCAAAGAGTTGGAGTGATAAAAAAATCCCCTGTGGGAAAAGTGTGGATTGCAACAGCTTTGCAGGATCTTACCGTGAGAATCTTGTTCAGAATGTTTGATCTCCAGTTCACCCATGTTTACTTGTCCTTCTTGATCCAGACCAACAAAGGGACACAATATAATGATTTTGAGACAATTCTCATTAATAATGACCAGTTAAGCAAGGCAGCATTTCGTTGTTTCTCTCCAAGAGATACGTTGTCTGTGAAAGTCTGGAACAGGTGCATTGAGAGAGAGAAGAGGGAGAATCTGCCCCAGGATGTGATTGAGAGGATCCTGTCTCAAGACAGCTACAGCATTTACAATGCCATCCAGGTTGTGACACAGTCTTTGCATGCAGCACACCTTTCCCGATCAAATTGGAGGAAGACAATGGGTGGGCATAGCCTGGCAGCTCAAAGGATCCAGCCATGGCAGGTACTCCTTTCTGTTCACAGAAGGTTCCAGGGAAAACTGTTATTAATTGCTGAAATCAAGATCTGTGAGGGTCCGGTGGCGGTGGGAGCAGATTTTCTGTGTGGGATCTGTTGTCCCAATGAACCATTCTCCACTTTCCAGTGATCAGTCAGGGTGGTGAAATGGGCCTTTGTTAAAATGAGAATTCTCTTGATGTCCAGTTCACCAATCTGCTTCTCGGCTGCACAGACAAGTCTGGAGTCTCCTTATATTATAGGGTTCGGTCTCCACAGAATTTATGTATTGGCTGCCCAGTTCAGGGCTTCATGGCCTGTATCAGCGTCTTCTAAATGAGAACAGGCTCAGATATGCAGCCATTCCAGTTTGATTCCCTCACCCCCGATTTTACTAGATGCAATGGAGAGGATTTTGGTTTTCTTCTTGTATTCTATGATGTTGGTTCGGCTTTAAGGGCTCTCCAGCAATGAATGACCTCCATTCTACATTCTGTTCTGCACAGCCCAGCTCAGCTCTCCCAAACTCAAGACAATGTGCTGTTTAATTGAATAAATTCACCTCCTACTGTATTTGCACCATTCCTTTACCTGTTGCCTTAAATTTATCTCAGTGCTCTTTCATTTCGTCTTTTCTTCTCGTGATGTGCTCAAAATACTATTGTCTCAGTTTAATCACTTTTTCTCCCAGAATTCCAGTTCGACATGATGTAGTTATATTATTTTAAAAATGCCTAGTAATTATGGTGAGGGCCAAGATTTCTAACAGGATTTCCTGATTGTCTAATGAGCTTGCTTGTCCTTTTAGCTTCATCCTTTTCTTAAAAATGTCCAGTATTACAATATTGCCATGAATGGAGTTTATTTGGATGAGAATGGGGAGCTGGCAGCTGACTTCCATATCGTGAACTGGTTAATGTTTCCCAACAAGTCGACCGCTGGAGTAGAAGTTGGGCGTATAGAGAGACGGGACTCCCCTGAGATCAAGGTGACCGTTGATGAAAATGCCATTGGATGGTCCAGTTGGTTTAACCAGGTGGGAGAAACCACTTGTTTCATTTCAATCCCTTGATTTCCTCTTGATTTTTAAAAAGTCTATCTCATTTTCTTCCTTATGTTTTTCCTGTGGTATATTGGATATGAAAAAAGTGTTCCTATACCTAAAGGCCTTTTCCCTTCTCATGTTTTGTACCTTATATTAAGATTAATTGCAAGATTATAGTAAATAGTGTCCTGTACATGGGGATCAGAGAAGCCCATCCACAACCAGGGGATAAAAGGAGCCATATGAAGTCCTGGAGAGTTTTGGAAGGACGGCAGGTATCTTTTTTGCACAACACAAAGACTGCCTCCCTGCTGTGCGGATTGTTTGTTTTTTTTGAAGGAAGGCAAGCCAAATGGGGCCCCTTGAGGTGCAGATGCCATGCAGATGCAAAGATCATGCCAAATGCATCCTGGACCTCAACATGACCTGAAGCGACCCTACTTAGCCTGGTCCAGCCTGGTCTGGTCTCTATCCTGAATAAAAAAAAGAATGGTGCTAAGTGTGTCACTTGTTAATAAAACCCTGCATGCAATTGAAGGTCTCCCCTTAAGATCTCAACTCTTCCAGAAATAATTTCCACTAATGCAGAAATGATTAACTAGCATGTTTTCTCTCAACGCTGCTTCTCCTGATGCCCAGACGATGCCCTTTTCTAGATGCACCAAAAGTTGCCATCCAGGACATGTCAAGCTGGTGAAGGAGGGAGAGCCCGCCTGCTGCTATGGCTGTGCCCCGTGTGCAGGAGGAACCATCTCCACTCAGGAAGGTGGGTAACTCCAGGCCGAAGGAGGTATTCAGGAGGAGCATAATTAAGCATAACTCACCTACACTCTCTGTTTTTCACTGTAAATCCCACATCTGTTGTTTTCTTCAGAACTGACCTCCCTTTGATGCTGGACTGCATTTCCCATGAACCTTTATCCCTCTACTATGGAGGGCAGTTACAATCCATCAACATCGAGAGGCCATATATTCCCCATTCTCTTTTAATAAATGAAAAAGACCAGTGATGATAACTGATG